TTTTCAGGGTTGTGATCTATCGACGTTCGACTGATTGTCTTTCGGCCAATGGTCGTAGATTCTTCAAGCACAAAGACTTCAAAAGATTTAAGATGACTTTAACATATTTCAGAGAACATCATGATACTTTGAGAATGAAGTTTTAGCTATATCCTCTGTCAAGGTATTGATTGATAAAAACTATTTTTTTAAACAGTATTTAGCAGTGTAAATCATTTTCTAATTATACTATTTCAAAAAACTCTATTCTTACCATGAAAATCTTTATCACCAATAGCATTAATCCATTCATTTCCACATTCATATAAAGATATTCTAACATTATCATTTAAATGATATTTTTTCTTAAGATATATTGCTAAAACACGCATAGCAATAGCTCCAAAATAAACAAAAATCCAACGTTGATACCATGGAAATATTTCTTCCCAATCGCCAACTTTTGAAAACCAATGCATTGTATTAAGTGATTGTTTTAATGTACTATAAATATTTGGTGATATTACATGAATAAATTTATTATCAACCCATTCACGCCATTGACGTTCAAATTCATTTTCTTCATTAGATTTTGGTTTATTAATAGTTTCATTTTGAAGTTTTTTTGAATCAATGTCAGATTGAGATGATGATCTTGAAAAAAGTCTAGCAAAGAATGATTTTGATTGTTTATTAACTATTGATTTTTGTTCTTCTTTAATCATTTCTAATCGATCATTTATTAATGGTTCAATAATAAAATATCTATTTGGATAATTAAAAAATAAATTTCCTTTCTGATCTTTTTCAACAACTGATTTATATAATTTCATTATATTTTTAAATGTTTTTGTTGGTTGACGTAAATATGATTCAATAGCTGATATAATTAGATTGGAATCATTTAATTGTATGTGTTCATTTTCAATAACAACTATTGGTACACTATTATATAAAGACCATTTCGTTTCTTTTTGTGTTACACTATTGACTTCGACTATATCGTATGGTATACGATTATAATTTAGATAAGCACGTACTTTACAGCAAAATGGACTAAAAAGAAATAATAAAATTTTATCATTAAAAGAATAATTTTTTTTAAGCACGCAAACCAAGTTACAAATTGATAAAGTGTTACATTAAATGGAAAATTTCTTTGTGGTGGAACATCAAATGTAATATGTTTAGTTATTGGTGGTGGCAAAGGACGAGCTTCTAAAGCTTTACGTTCGAGTAATTCAGCATTTGCCACATATTCAGGTAGACTTCCTTCATGTTTTCTTACTTGACGTAAAGCATAGATTGTACCGATTAATGCTCCGGTAGCAATAGACAATAGATAATAATGATAACGGCGAAGACGAGGTGATTGTTTAGATGATGAAGAATCAATTTTTAGTTGTTGTTTTTTAGCTTGAATGAGGTCATTGTTGTATTGATCAGAGGAAAGAAGACGAGGAGTAAATGATAGAAAGCGTTGACGATATAGAGAAGAAGGAAGTCTTCGACTAGTAGAGATAAAGAAGAGAGACATTGATTTAGATTGTTCACAAATAAGTTTAATTTTTTGAACCAAAAGTCTTTCTATCCTTGATACTATAGCTAGCTATAAGATAGTATTTTATCGAAATATACTTTAACCAACAGAAATCAAATGTCAAATAGATGTCGCTTGTTTACTAATGAATTGAATTTCTCTTTTTGTCAAAATATAATATATAGAATCAAAGATAGAAATACATGGTAACAAACGAAAATGTAAGTGTTAAAATTATTGAAGTCATTATCTTATGTAAAATATTTATATATTTACGTATTAAGACTTGTGAAAAAAACGTTGAATCGATGATCCTAAATGTATTTGGGAAGTTGAAAAGTCAATCTTTGTGAATTACACAGTTTCAAAAAGGATTGTTACGATTATCGTATACGGTCATAAATGAATAGATGTATTGTGTTTACACACTGTAGTTTAATGTTAACTAGATCAATATGTTTTACGACCATATTTATAGTGTGTCATACATGATGCGTGTTTATGGCTGAAGAAAGATAACCCTCTTTACACAGTTGGCGTGTTTCTATAGATGTGACATTTTAGTTGAATCCATCTGTTCATACATGAAGACAATGGTTTTTTATATGATTATTGTAGCATGAGTAGACATAACTTTTTGTTCTCAATAACCTGACAACAGAGACACACAGATGCTTAAAAAATGCATGCAGGAGACCGGAACTATATTGAAATATTTTCGCCTTTTACAACGGTTTGTTATTATGTATGAACGACCGCTGGAAAGTATAGGAAAAGTTGTATATCTCTCTATTTAGCCTTAATAGTGATGACAATATACACTATCATAAAACGTTACCTAAAGATATTTTAAAAGGTCACAGTTCATTGCGTTGGGGTAGAGGTCAACAAAAACTATTGTCTAATGGCTAGAAAAGCTACTATAATTAACAAAGACTTGACATTAATAGAGAAATGATAGTATCAAATAGAACTCGGCAAAGTCCATTAATTGTATGTCATTATATGACAACAACTGATGATAGATTTAAGGCATTTCATCGATATTACACACATACAACCCATAAACAATAGCTGAATACAATACCTTCACATTGTATCGTAAAAGATTGTCATACATGGCAAAGTTTTGTACCATAATGAACAATGATACAGTATATCTTATATGTTTGTCGTTTCTAGACTAAATACCATTAGTAGAATATCAACTAAGACTATAATAATCATGCTCTTTAATTCGATAATTACTAAACGAATAGATAAATTTTGGAGACTTTATTAATGTATTTTTACTATCAACCTTGTCTGCAACAGGTTTTGATGTTATGAAGTCTCCAGTACAAGTTTATTGACATATCAAAGAATAACATTTAGATTAAAAAAAATATACTTGTCCAAAATCTAACAAATTAACTAGATAATTTTTTAACTTCGGTACATTCGAAAAATAGAATGATGTCGATTGATAAATATAGGGCATCATGTCCAGCGTCCGCAAAGTAAAAACCAGACTTTTTAAATTTTGACTCAATCTAAGGTAGTTTTAGGTTTAAAATAGAGTAACAATTGTGTACAATATGTTTGAAATCTTCAGTACGTGTATGTGTACCGATACGTAAATATTGTAAGCGTTACGGAGCATCGTGCATACAAAGTCATGAGATAATATGAGATTGCTTATATAATTAAAACCAAGATAAAGTAACATGCCACTGTAAATTTGTAAGATCAAAGAGAAATAATGAAAAGAAATGTATTAATTATCTAACATCATTTTTATTTATATCTATACTATCGTTAAAAACTAAAACGAAAATAACAATAATGTATTAGTTATTGTATCAGATAAATTATTTTGTCAACAGAAATAAGTGAACAAAAAATTTTGTTAATAAACTGTGTTGGTATGAAGTCCAATTAGTTGAATTGAATCATACGTTTGTGTTCAAGAAGATTTTCAATAGCTGCTCGCCATTGTTCATAACTTGTCTGATTCATTTGCCAGCCAGCTTGATACTCACCTTTTCCAGGAACTATATAAGTTATTATCAAATGTGGACGATCGATTCGATAAAGACCATTAAACCCTACTAAATAAAAATGAACAAAAAACAAAATTTAAATGTCATTTTTTAAACTTACAAGTTTTATCATAAATATTTGTAATAGCAAAAAGAGGTATATGTAAAAATCCTCGATCTTTACAGCAAGAAGTACCAATAACTTGAGAAAAAATACCATCTTGTGTTAAAACCAATTCTGCATCACCCAATGTCTGTCAATAAATAATAATAAATCATTAAAATTAAAATATAATCAATAAACATACTTGAAAACGGCCTCGTGCTGTTGTTCCATGATATCGAGAACTTTCACCTTTCGTTTGAAGAACTATTGCCGAATGAATTCGATCATGATCGAGTGTCTTAATAGACAGACAACACCCCATTATGATTGATATATATATTTTATGTTATTTCTCACTCATCAAAAGGTGCTCAGGTGATCTATCTTATTTGTATGTATACCCCTCAAGGATGAGTCAATCGATGACAAACAAGGTAAGTGTCATCAAACCAATTCGTTAGTAATCATGAGTGGGTTTTCAAAAATAGTCACAGATGTCATTAGAAAAACATATCGTCAATAAGTTATATAATAATTAAAGTTTTACATTATTGTCTATTTTTTAAATGCTTAATAGATACAATTAAGAGTAATATAGTACTTCTTGTCTTTTTCTAACTATATATATATATAAAGCAAAAGAGCGATCAGATAGTAAATAATAAAAAGAAAAAATTCATGCACGAATAAATAGTAACACTCTTTCGCTAAATATCTTCATTTTTCTCTGTCTTTTTTATTCTTTTCCTATTGTTCTCTCTTGTATTCATCTCTTCTACTTTTTTATAGTAATCTTGTTTTGTTGAGAAACTCATGTCTTGACAATACGATATTCGAAACTGATGAAACACTAAACACAAGATATTCTATTCGAGTCCTACATATGTACAAAGTTTCAGGTCAAAATTTCCAAATATAATTTTTTTTTCAATGATTGGACTGCTGCAAAAAAAAAAGGAATCTACTAAAAAGTCGCTATCTGAGTCAAGTCTAAGCAGCAGTATAAAACGTTTGGAAGTTACTTTACTCTAATGATGTCGCATATACTGGCAAAATTGGCGAGGAGGTGGAACGTGGACAAAGTAAATCATTTGCAAATGTTCGCTAATCAGTAAATCAGTGTCAAAATATGTATTTTGTGTCGTTTCTGATGATTTTTATTTTACTATATATAATAGTCTTTAAATTAGTACACGAACAGTATTATATTAAAGTATTATTTATTTGCATTCGTATACTACAATAAAGAAAAAGAACGATTAAAATACTCTGCCTTACTCTTTCTGTTTCTTTCGGCCGACAGCAGTTAAAAAAGACACTCACAAAGAATTATTGTTTTTTTCTGCTTTTTACCATGTCCCTAGGTGACGACGACAACCACGACGCCAATGTTTTACCATTTGCCGATTGTGAAATTGCTACTGATGTTTATTTAGATCGTGCGATCTCTCAAATATCAAAACGTCATAATAACAAAAAGACACATAAGAAGTCAAACAAACGACAATCCAACGATACTAACAATGAACGGGATACCAATTTACAAAATACAGTGTCCTGTATCTATTTTGAAAGTACAGAAGAAGAAAATAATTTTCTTAAATTTATTCCATATACAGGACCCAGTAATACATTACATCTTGGAAGACTTCTTTATCTCCCACAATTAATATCACATATTAGTAATGATTTAAAGATTAGTTTTCAACGTTTTATTCAAGATTATGATCGAACAATAGCATCTATAACACCATCGTTGGAGACCCTGTCTCTTTCCATCTATTTACGTTTTGGAATTTCTTACATAGCGAAACTAGATGTCATGCCTGATGAACCAATATCACTTAGAGATTTCACTATTTTTCGAAATCGAGGTTTTTATTTAAAAACAGACACAACAATTTAAACTCTAAGTTAAATATTTTTTTATTTATCGTAGGTAAAAAACTTAAAACATCATTCTATACTTGTAAAGGTGTTACTTCACCAAAACGTCTTATAACAACAATTACTAAACTTAATTATCATCAAATATCATCAAATACATATTCATATGAAATTCAACTATATGCAATTAAAAATAATCTAAATACTATTCTTCATTTTCAATATGATGAACTATTTCATTGTCGTTCAGTATATTCTCGATTAGATCATCCAATTAATTTTGATTTTATTCGTGATAAAACATCAAGTTTATTTCGTTCAATAGATGATTCATATTCGGATATATTTGATTTTCGTATTCAATTATCACGAGGAAAACATTTATCAAAAACTGATACCATTGTTTTAGATGTGTTACGTGGTGTACCTATTGATCAGGTTTTATTTCTTGATACATCAACACATATTTTACGTGTTTCATCAAAATTACAAAAATTTGTTAAATACTTAAAATGTACACGTTCAAGTAGTTATCAAAATGTTGATGATCAATTTGTTATAAATATTGGTACATATGAAGAATTTCAATTAAATAGTCGAGGTCAATGTGAACCATTAATGAAATCATCAAATACCATGACTATTGAACTACTGGATGTCAAAACTATACCATCAGGAAAAAAACTTTATGATACGGGAATGTGGTTTTCAACATTGTGTCAAACATGTAGTTAGAATGTTAGCTTGCCTTTTTCTTTATTGGAAAAACACGAAGTATATATAGGAAGGGAAAATTGGACTAGTCAGGGAAGAAGTTGAGTTTCTTCGTCTGATTGAAAATGAACAACAAGTAGAGTTACAACAAAAGACGTCAGTGAAGAAGAATAGGTCAGACGGGTAAGAACATATAGTAACACCTGAAGAAAAAGAAATATGAAATCATCCATATATCCTAACACCTCCTTCCCTACAACAGATGAGCGCATCATCTGCTCATCGACCAAAAAAAAAAACTTATGAGAAGATAAACAACAAACCAAAAGAAAACAAAACTTGCACAAATGTAAGGAAGATAAAACGCACGACGAAAAATGAAACCGCCCAATAGAGAAAAAAAAATGTGTTTATCCATATTCGAGGATCGATTCGTGTTGATATTGTAAAATCTGACATTCGTAATAAACGTGAATGAATCATAAACTGCCACCTGTGAATAATGATTCCATGAAGATCCATAATATTCTCATCGAAAGCAAAATAATTCGATGATCATAGTAGAATTGGTGAAGAAAAAAAAAATCGATCGCATACAAGTATGATAAGGAATAGAAAAGACTTGTTGACGACCAGTTAAAACTGTGATTTCAGATATAACGAATAAACCAGAATAAAAACCATGTGTGAAACCATTTATTGCCCGTTCCATATCTATGCCAGACGACATTAATAAAAATTAGAAGTCGACTCGCATGGTAAGAATTGGGTAGTTCAAAATCCATAATATATGTTTGTGATGAACCACGGTTGATCCTATAACAAGATTCGCCGTAGATTGTAGTTGACTCTTTGTGTGTTGAATCATTAAGATCATAAGAATAAGGATAGCGTTATTTGTTTGTATATGACGTTGATTATTATCATGTTTATTTGTTGTCACTGTTGTTGATAAAGTTTGTTTGCTTGATTCGATGGTCGATTCAAATATATGTCGAGACGATGAAAGACATTGACCAAAATATTGAATGTTATTAAGTAATTGACTTCCATCACGTTTTGATTGAAGACGTTCATCTAATTGTGAAAATGTAGAATCATTTCTTTCTTTAGTTTCATCAAGTTCTGTGCGCAATGCATCGATTTGAATATGTTTTTCTGCAAGTTTACTATATAGAGATTCTTCATATTGATGTTGTTCGGATATTTTTTCTTGTTCAAGTCGTTCAATTTCTTGCCTAAATTTATTCTTTTGAGATTGATATTGAATTTGTAAATGATCAATTTGTTTTTTATATTCTTCAATTTCTTTAGTTAATTGTTGTTGTAAATCATTATATTCATGTTCTTTTTGTTGATTTAAATCAATTGTTTGTTTTAATTGATAGATTTCTTTTTCAAATTGTTCATTATCAGTTTCAAGTTGTGCAATGCGACGTTTATATTGATCGATTTCATGTAAATATGATGTTTGACTTTCATTTAATTGTTCATGAAGTATTTCTTCGATACGTTTTAAGTCTTTTTCCACATTTGGAAGAGACTGTGCTAATTGTTCATTATATCGAATTAAAGCTTCTTTTTCTTTTTGGGCTTCTTTAGCTAATAATTCATTACGATGTGCTTGTTTTTCCAAATTAGCATTATCAATTGATAATTTTTTAATTTGTTCACCTAATACTTGGATTTTAACATTTGTTGAAGCTCCAGTATTAATTAAATGAATATTTTCTTCTGTAAGACGTTTTAATTGTAATTCAAGTGTTTGAATATATTCTTGTTGTTGAAGTTGATTTACTTGTGTTGGTTCATGTTTATGTTGAACAGAATGTAATTGAGCATGAAGAATTTGAGCTGATTCCGGTTTATTTTTATTACGTTGACGAGCTTTCGATGATGGTTCAACAACTGATTGTTGTGGATTTAACTGTGTTGAATCTTCTTTATTGGAACATCTAGGACAAATGAATGTTTCTAATTGCAGCTGGATCTTCTCCTCAATTGCTGCATGTAAGCAGCTAATACAAATTGTATGCGAACATGCGGTAATTGTATAATGATACCTGTATATACAATCAAAACAAGACGTGTTTGATTGATCGATCCGGTGAGTCATACTGCTTTGGTGATACATTCGACGATTGACGTAATTTTCTTTTTTTCTAAATGCTTCTTCGTCTTCTTCTTCGATGGTAAAAGTGAAGAAATCTGGACACGGCACCAAATGTTGATTACTAATAAGGCTATTGTCGGGTCCGTTAGTTTGTCGAAGATTGTAAGTCGATAAACTTGGCTAGTGCACCAGTTAGAATGTTAGCTTGCCTTTTTTTTTATTGGAAAAACACGAAGTATATATAGGAAGGGAAAATTGGACTAGTCAGGGAAGAAGTTGAGTTTCTTCGTCTGATTGAAAATGAACAACAAGTAGAGTTACAACAAAAGACGTCAGTGAAGAAGAATAGGTCAGACGGGTAAGAACATATAGTAACACCTGAAGAAAAAGAAATATGAAATCATCCATATATCCTAACACATGTGTTGATTTGCCAACAACAACAATTGAAAAAAATTCTAATAAATCACTTAAATGGTTCTCAGGTATATTTGTATGGGGTAGACGATATAATCAATCAATAAAACAAATGAATGTTAATCAATTAACAACATATAGAACACATCAGTCTAAACAAACTTATACAAGTGAAGAATTAGCATTCATTAAAAAAATTTTACGAGAAGAAAATTTACGAAATATTTTATTGAATACGAATGAAGAAAAATCTTATGGCAGAAAAGATATTGACCAAATATTTGAAAATATTATGGAAAGATTAAAAGCAAGTGCTGCACCATCAGCTAATGAAGCCATGAAAAAAGTTGAACGAGCCTATCGTATTGTATGTAAAGAATTTATTGAGTCATAAGTGAAGTTTATGCTTTAATAATTTACTCTTGGAAAATAAATTTTATTTGGCAAGCTTTTTCATTAATTACTCGTTCCTTTAAAATATTTTTGTAAGATAACGAAAATGCAATATTCCAAGAAATCATTATTCTCGTTCATTTATACATATATATGAGCTGAATGAATATGACGAACGGAGCATGAATATATAGTTTGCATTTCGATTCGTCCATTGTGTAATTGAAAAGAAACTGTAAAAAAGTTGATTGATTGAGCATCTCACATTGATTACAATTAAATCACGTTTTTTTTCCTGCAATGTCATAATTTCAAGTATAGTTAGTTTATAAACTTTTTGAAGACATTCTCTAATGTCATTTATCATGAAAAGTTGAGAGATGAAACTCTTATCTGATTAGATTTCGAGTTAGCAAGGTGAAAAAAAGGTCGATCTGATTTAAATAATTCAACTGTCTCATAGCACGTATTTGTAAATAGTCTTAGAAACTTATCTTGATTTTTGTGGAATTCATAATCTTGAAGAAAATAGTAAGGATGTATTTAAATCAAGGTTTTTGCGATTGCTTCCAGATCATAATAACTCTGGATAGGAGGAGGAAAGATAGAGATCATTGGACACGTTTTGTCGCACGTAGAAAAGGCACATCAGTAATAACAATGCTAAGATCATTCTGGAACTTTCTAGAATCGTCAAAAAAGCATTTTATGAATCTAAGATTTCTATTATACTTTTTAATTAGTTTTAATGTTGTGGGTTTGGGTATTTAATACAGCGGAAGAATTTTATTGTAGGTGTCAATCAGTTAGGTGATGATATTGTTGATCTAGCAAAGTCAAAATAGGACTATAATAGAAAAATATGAACTAATTGAATTCGAAGTTTGGGTAAAACGGAACATTATATGTCAGTTTATCAAGAGAAAGGACGATGTGCTAAGGAATTAACTGAACAAAGAAATCAAAGTATGTAGCAGTTTTTAATATGGTTGTTGAATCAACGAAGTGAGGAATAAAATAATACTTGTCGTTTCCTATGGCATGGATCATATATATTATAACTAGAAGAAAGGAATCATGTATCGAGAATCTAATAAATTGGTAGAATAGTAATTCTAAATGCAAATAATTTCGAAATGATAAAATTTCACTGGGCCCCTATCAAGTATAAAAATTTTTATAATTTAGATTTATTCATTTATTTGGTATTTTTTTTAAATAAATTATTTGAACCCTTTAATTATATACCAAAGATTTATTACAGTCACGCTTTGTAAGTTCCATACTTTAGTGTTTCATGGGGTCGCTCTGATAACTTCTCGTTATTTGTAACAACAGATAAAAGCAAGTGTCTTAACTTTATTGAATCATGGAGTGACGAGGTATCAAGTGACTATTTACTGCCGAATAGAGCTTCATTTGGGCCATCCGTACATTTAGATACAACATTTTTGCAAGTCTTCGATGGGATTTTATAGTGTCGGTGTCACTAACTATGATATGTCATAGGTAGTATTTTACAAGACGGCTCAACCAATCACAGTAGTATCTATGTATAGAATTTGTCTTAGATTTTGTCCTAAGAGCTTTTAGTCCATTTCGTAGTAGTAGTAGTTTGGCGAATGAGTCCGCTCACATGTTCAAAAAAGTAAATTTAAACAAAAGTTTGGACTCCAACTCTGATTACCATCTTCATCTAGAAAATGACTTTTATGGAAAAGCAAAAGTAGCAATCACTAGCAACTCTTACGAAGACTACTTGCTTAACTATTTTGTACATCATATACAGTTATTTTTGGAACAAAAAACAAGAAGCGCGTAATAAGCTGCTGCCCTAATAATACGCATACATTTTGTGTTTTGTTCATATCTAAGTTGTATTTTGTATTCTTATCTCTGTTATTACAATAAAGAAATCTGGTGATTTTCTCTACAAAATGGTTTTCATTATTTTTTCCGCAATTCCACTCAAAAATATCTATCTGAGACATTCGAGATAGTAATATTATTTGATTTTGTAACTTTTTTTGAATGTATTGCATCTTCGATAAAACTTGAACAAAAATTGATTAGAGTATATTTCAATGGTCCATCTCATTATAAAATGCTTCGTTTCATAAGAAAAGTAAATGTACATTACTGCTTAATTTCATGGTCAAAGACAAACTAAGAATGCGCTGGTGGTGTAGTGGTATCATGCATTAAGTACCAGATTGAGACCCGATGATTTATTCAGTAAGATCCTGATCTTCAAAATACCTCATCAAGCTTCGTAAACTAGATAAGAGTGATCGTGATTATTGAATAACAAAAGGGTTCGATTCTCGGCCAGCGAATTATTATTCCTATTCCTCGTTCCTTTTAATATTCGATACTCTCATGTTCACTCTGAGCCGTATGTGAGCAGCTTCTGAACAAGTTCAGCACAATTTTTACGAATGAGAAAAAGGTATTACACCACACATCTCAACAGTTACGCAATATCAGAATTGAGTGCATTGGCAACAAGAAAGAAACAGGGTATTCTTAGATACGATTTTTATGTTTTGAGCTTATTTTTTTATTCTCATGCTTGGCAGCATTTACATAAAAAAATAACAACAAATTAGAATACAACAAAAACAAAAGATACAAGTAATACTCGTCGCTGTATCTCGCTTGACCTTCGACCGAATTCATTCTATTCAATTTAAAATTTATTATTAGACGCTTACACGATAAGAATAACCCTCAAAATTGAGAAATAGATTGTTCTCAAAAAGTAGAAGATAAAAACGAAAGAAATTGAAGTATATTGCCACTAATGTTACTCTTTTTTTGATTAAAACTCAAGGAAATTCCATTGTTTTGACAAGCACTTGAACTTTTGTTCATAGATTAACTGAACATTGCTTTGAAAGTTTTTTGGTATTCTAGTGACAGCGAATGCGTTTATGGCATGAAATCCTATCCAAGCATTTTAACTTCAGAGAATAGTAGTACTTTTGGGAAACGACTTTTAAATAACACTTTTACATAGGTATCAGTTAGACAGACATGTATCGGACTCTGAAATCCTTTTTTCAACTGTACGGAAGTTACACTTGAATTCACCAAAACAAATTTTTCGTAGTCAACATCGGACTTACATTTGTGAAACATTCACCTAGTTTTTGCAGATTTTTATAGTAACAACTTTAGTCTTCAAATGTTAAGCAGTGAGCAATAACACACTGATTTATAGATTCATAAATAAGTTTCAAGAAAAACAACAGTCAAAGAGGTATTTTCTTTTAGAAACAGCACAAAAAGAAGTTTATATATTGGTCAAAAAAGTTTTCGAATTTTCACAAAGTCGTGCCGTCTCAAATAGAAAGTATTGGTGAAGTCTTAGTCGAAAAGTTTGGCTCTGCACGGCGTTTCTATTATACTTTTTAGTCAAAAAGTATGAAAAGTACTTAAAAAGGTTCACTTATAAGTACTTTTTTTTCTGTTTAAAATCTACTTTTGAAAGTACTTAATAGTTGGTTTTTGCCTACTTTTTTTTTTTTTTACTTGAATGGATATTGTTGAATTGGCAACATGATCTATCAATGCTATGAAATCTGAGGCACCGCGAATATTGATTGCTGTGTTTGTTTGTAGAATGCGTTGATCGTCATTTGTAAAACAGTGAGTATTCAGCGTAAAGATGATATAAGCAGTGAGTACATCGTGAATAGTCGTAAGTTTATTGCCACTTAAGTCATGCAAACGGGCAGTTGTGCTCCTTAAAACAGATGATGATTTGGTCATAGATATTTTGATTATTGCTCAAATACTACATTACTTCTTCTTTTGCTTGCGCATCGGAGATATATTTCATCGTGGGTGCAAGAGACATATTCAAATCATCTTCATTCTACAAACATGATTCAACCACTGGTGATGGTTCGAGCCGCTCTAATTGTTGATAGAAGCGTGAAAATGCAGACAAAAAATTCGCATATGCAGATGCATCGCCCCATACATGTGAGCAACTTGTACCTAGTAGCCATTCATCACTTGCTTTTATATGTATCGATTTCAAGCGAAAAAAAGAGGCTCGTACTGAGAACATCGCATTAGTTTAACATAGTCAACTACATCAAGAAATGATTTGAACAATGTGTGTTCTATGTCGATTACCACGTGACACTCGAAAGGGCATTTTAAGAATCCAGTGTTTTCAATCAGTGTGACTGAAACTGTATTATCCGTCGTGTCGATTGCATATTGATCATTATCTAGTAGAATCGGTCGATCGGCAACTAAAGGTCATAATGATAAAACACGAGATAGAGCTTCTTGAATATAATCAATATCCAAAGCCGATGGATATACGAATACGTTATTGATGCGCGCAATCATCCATAGATCAATGCCGGCAAGTTCAATATGACGATTCAAACTTTGTCGGCGAACATGGTCGGACAGTATAAGAATTCATATTCTAAAATCGTTATATCTCAAAACTGATAATGTTGAATTTTATTCTTAGCCATTGCAAAACTTAGCTTAATAGACGGTACTCTTTGTACAAGGAAACCGATTTTGGTTTAACAATGATAAGCAAGTGAATTCCAAAAATGATTTACACTCAGATGCGGCAAGAGCTTAGTTTCTTCGGATAAGAAAAGTTAAAGCAAAGAACAATATTATTTAGTTCAGGTTTTTCTTCTCTGCCTCGAATGAAAGAGCTCAGATAGCTCGAAGTTTCAGGATAAAAACATTTTGGCGCGATCTTTGCTAGGTTGCAATGTGAAACTTGATGGAAAGCTTCAATTGATTATGAGAACTCCAACTATATCGATCAAAAAACCGCGACGGGGATCAAAGGAGCAGCATGTCGAAATTCACCAACATCCATAGCACAAGAATAAAGTGTGAGAGCCAGAGAGATAGACTGTATTGTGCTGAGCTCAAGATGTCAAGAAAAATCAAAAATTTGAACAAGTACATCGACACTTCTAATGTAGTGTTTTGAGAATAAGTCCAACCTTT